ATGAGAGAAGCTGGTTCAAACCCCTTCTGGGTGAAGGAGGCCCAGGACCTCTGGCCTCCCAGGTGAGTGCCCTATCCCTTAACCCAGAGCTTTCCAAACTGTGTGCCGCAACACATTAGTGTGTTGGCGGCAGTGTGTAGGTGTGTCGCGCAAAATGCAGAAAATTTTGCGGAAGGGCACCGCGGAGCTCCCTTACTCGCGTCTGCTTCCCTTGGCCCCTCCCCCGGAACTGAATTACTGTGTCGCGAAATGATGCATGTCTAAAAAGTGTGTCACCAACATGAAAAGTTTGGAAAGCTCTGCCTTAACCTATAAGGGGAAAACGTGGATTGAACACATGCACCCCATTTTGTTTCTGAGGCTAAGCCTGGTAGTTACAGCTTTGGGCCAATTCCATTTTCAGGCATGTAAGTGTGCCTCCACAAGGGGCAGTCGTGTGTCTTATGGCTGCTACTGCACATACTGAGTCTGCATTCCCACATGTCGTTCAGTCATCTATGTGTGCAGGGCTGTGTGTTCAGGATTTCCCATGGGCATGTAAATGCCAAAAATGCCCTGAAGATAGCCAAAAAACAGCCACTTATGACCAGGAAAGAATAGAATGTCTCCCCAAATGTCTTGATCTGTTTCGGTGCCAGATTCAGCTCAGAACAGAGTAGCATAAGCCCAGACATTCCTGACTGAGAAGCTGAAAGTTTGAAAAACATTAACAATATTTTTACACGTTTCACCTAAATAAACTGTGCTATCTACTTGTGTCCTTGAGCATGTATTTGTAAGATATAAGCAAAGCCTTCTGTCCTACATGGTGTAACTGCCTCCCCATTTTACATCAATAACTGGTGATTTGACTTTGCATAAATAACAATTTGTCTGTTGGGTTAGACCAAGTGATAAGCTTATGCAGTGATAAACTATTCTGAGAACTGTGACACATGCCAACCCCCAAACAAAAGCTTAGTTTCTGTGCTGATGAAATCCTGATGAGATAAAAGCTCATTATTTTCTTCATTTTTTAAAAATTTATGAGAATGAAGTGAAAGAAGTTGTGTCACATCCACAACAGGTTTTTTTAAATACAACAGTTGGAAGCATCAGAAACATAATCAACTTTTTCTGAGAACATGTGATTTTTATATGTCAACTGATACTTGTAATGTATCTGTTTTGAAAGCAGTTTATTCCTTGAACAATGTAAAAAGGAAGGACAAAACATGACAATAGAAATCTAAACGAATGTAATAATCCTGGTTGCATGACATTTACCATGTTTGACAGCTAGTATTTCTAACTTACTCACACTTTCAGAAGAGGTTTCCATAGCCACTGTTTTATTTGTTAGCATTGATCAAGGATGGTGCTTGCCTTTTGTACTATAGCTGATACTTCACTTTATGTAGTGTATGCTAAATAAAAAATGTAAATTTGACAACAATATGTGAGTCATATCTAAATACATCTTTGGAAGCCTGTTTAAAAACACGTAGGGATGTGTGTGTGGCTGGGTGTGCCGCTGGGTGAGAAAAAGAAGAAAAAAACTATTCTTATTTGAAGACAACTTCCCTTTTACTAATTAAATTAAACAGACTGTTTCAAATGTATGATCCCCATATCAGAGTTATAATATCTATTATTGTTCTTGATGCTTGGAAGCAGATTTTATCTTGATAGGATTATACACAGCTACTGACACCAGAATTTGGGCTGCAGTTGGTATTGGTTCAGGTACTAGCTTCAAATAAAGAATCAACAAATAAGAAAAAGGAAAAACAGGACTGAAGCAGAGCAAAGGCTTAGTGAAAATGGGCAGAAGACTCCACCCCTCCAGAACTTGGAATAGAACTCAAAATTTCTGAATCTTGCCTCTTCTGTAAGCAAATATTTGTTAAACCTACTGGCAAAGTGACCCGTTCTCTTTGTATGTTGGTTCATTTAGAGACTGGAAATCTATTGTTGTCATTTACCCCATTAGCTCATATGGCAGAGGTCTGTTCAGTGGATTTACAGGTTCCAGCTCTGCTGATGACCCTCACGCATGTCAGAAATTCCATTAAGTCATCCTGCTGTTTCGAGGAATGTACACACAATAAGTACATTGCAGAAACATTATTAAGATTGCATGATTACCTACTATTTTGTCCAATTGAAAGCTGCTTCATATCACATATGCACAAAGGTGCTGACTGAAGGTTCACTGGTAATTGTAATTCTGGCATTTTCCAGTTAAGTCCTAGGCTTTGGAACCTTTTTGTTGTTTTAATACTGCGTACATGTGTGTGGCTGTAGACAGGTCTTTATATTTAAGCTAGTTTGCCATTATGCCTGCAGTGAAATTTGTATAGACAGACTTCCCAAACCTGTAGAGATTTGTTGGCGGGACTGGGGCCTTAAGGAGTCATTTTAAATAAAGCTGGTTTTGATGTTTATTAACTTCTGTTAAATTATTCTGTATATATAAAAGATGATGTGTCCCACTGACCCCACTTAGCTCATGTCTATGACTAAGCTTCTGCCAGCCAAGCTGTGTTAATCAGGAATACGAAAAGATGTTATACTTGATCCAATAGCTGTGCTGGCAAAAGCTCAGGGTGCCATTCTTTTTCTTTCCTGGATGTCTAAGTGTCCAGATTTAGTCTTCTGCGTGGCATTCCAACCTGTGCAAAAGTAGCATGTAGATGACCAAAATCTGGACAGTTAAATGACCAGGAAAGAAAAGAATATCAGCCATAGTGTACACACATGACGGCAGCAAAATTACACTATGACTGGAATAACTAGCTTTGCTTGGAGGGGTGGGTATAATCACAGTTTTACTAGGGTAAGTTGAGTCCCCATTAGGTACACTTTTCTGGTATGATGTTCTTAAACCGACAAACTTCTCCTAGTCTAGAACCTCACCCTGAAATTACAGGTAAAGTAGAATACACTTTTGTAAGTGAAAGCAACATAATTGAGCACTTCACTGAAAAAAAAGCATTACAATAATTATATGATGTAAATGACATACAAGGGAGGAGGCATGACCACAGCTTTCCATCCAGCTGTTGGAAAGGATAGTACCTGCAGAGGTGCAGCAAAGCAACTCCAGAGCCATGTCATGGATTGGATCATGAAAATAGGAATTCATTTCCTACCCCACACACACACTACAAAGACTTCTTTGTGAAACCATACTGCAAATTCAACAGACACTTACTGCTGTTCTGCACTTTGGCTTACTGTGAAGTACCTAATGTCAACTCTAGTCTTCAGAGGACAGTGAGAAGAGGTCATCAGTACAGACTAAAAAAGCCTTTGACAGTACTTTTCTGCAGTAATTCTGGTGTATGCATGTGAGAAGTCTTCATAGAAATGGAAAGTTTCAGTTCCAAACAGATGAACAGCCTGTATCCTTATAAACAATTGGCAAAGTGCAATTTGTTTACTCCCCTGTCCTGTGAAACATCAGATACTGGCCATTACTTTGGACAAAATACCAGGTTTCTTGGATCAATAGTTTACCTGAAGAAAATTCTTTGCAAATGGTCTAAAAGTTCTTATTAATAAACATTCATTAACCCCTTAACACCTAATGTTAATTTAAAGAAGGTGTCTGGCATATTTTAGGGTAGTGCAATTTTGAAACCAAATTGAGGCTTATTAACCAGAATTAGAATCCAGGTCTCTCATGTCCTAGTACCAGGCCCTATGCACTGATTAAAACTGTGCTGAATTAGGAAATTAGAGGTGGACTTGAATTTTCCCAAAGCTTGAGGGGTGTTTGGTTCTTTGATCTCAGTTTGAGATTTTTTCTCAGAAAACTTCAGACCTGAAAACAATGTAATTGTAAATTTGTTCAGCATCTTATTCCCACTCAGTGAAAAAAATGCTGCTTAGTATTTAGTAATACAAATGTTATCTCAGAAAGGTCAGGCACCGCTAGGGTATAGACATTATCTAAATTAAGCAATTTCATGGCAAAGCACACATAATTTGTCCAGTGTCCTCTAATGCCAAGTCCAACCTGCACAGAGAATGTAGATGTTGAAAATGTTATCGGATTATGGGCAAAGTGAGAATTAAAATAAAGCGCTCATTTATTTCCCCCACTTCAGTCCCTAGGCAACAGCTTCATGTTTCATTTCCCATTTAAATTTGTATGTACACAAGTATGATTAAACCTATTTAAATATTGTAATGTACTGCCTAATAGCTGTGCTTAACATTGACATCTACTGGATGGAATTATAACTGTTCAGCTGTGTGTCATAAGCCATGGGCTACTTGCTGTTTGAAGTGCTCCAAGTGCTTTTGAAGCACTCCAAACCATGAAGGTACAGATACTTATGGCCAAAGCATCTAAAAAAAGGCCAAAGTGCTTCAAAAATGACCCTTGAAAAAAGAGGAGCATTTTTGAAGCACTTCCTGAAATACTGGCATGCTCCAGTGGTCCTTTAGCTTCCCACAGTGCTCTGCCCCACCCCTCCACGGAGAGTCGGGAGAAGTGGTGCAGATAGGCAATAAGGGCTGTCTTGCGTGCTCAACTGTTTGGAGAACCTGCAGAGAGCAGAGGTCAAGACCCATACAGTAAATCCTGCTCTCTAGCCCCCTGACTGGAGACTACTGCCACTGCATGCTGACACTGCCATTTTAAACCACTTGGAGGAAGAGGAGGGTTGAGGGCCTGGCCAAAGTGACTGAGGAACCCAAAACACATTTTCAAAGATGACTTGGATGTATACTAGTTAGATAGGAGGTTTTTAACTACAGTTATACCAGTAGACAAAAGTAATCATCCTGATAGTTTAAAGCCTAGTTTAAAACTAGCCAGGAAACCTTAAAAGAGTCAGTCAAGGTAAACCTTTCTTCAGAACCAATGAACTAGAGGTTATTTCCATTAAGAACAAATAGATGATTAATAATTGATACTTCATTGTTAATAATTACCAAATCATTGCATGAAATGAGCTAGATTTTTCCCCTAGTATAAATAGCATCACTTTGATAGAAGAGTCCTCCATTCTCTTCCTGGCATCACTGCCCATACTATACCATATCATCCACAATGGCATTCAGTGGAACTTGGCAGGTCTACGCTCAAGAGAACTATGAAGAGTTCCTGAAAGCTATTGGTAAGTGTCTAGTTACTTTTGTCACAGCTTGTTGGGTATGTGAAATATAACAATATTTTTCATTTACAGCACTTTTCATTAGGGAATTTCAACTTATATTTTGGATCAGCCACCTCCCATGACATAGTTCAGTGCTACTCTAAGCATTTGAGATTAAATGAAGTGAAGAGATTTGCCCAAAGCAACACAGGGAGAACACCAGGTGTTAAACTCAAATTTCCTAAGTTTTTACTACAAGAGTGAGCTTCTCCGGAAATAAGAGGTATCTTAATAGAAGCATGAAAATTGAACTGTATACACGTTTATAAATCTAATAGGTTTGCTAGCAGGGACTTGTTAATGGGATATAGAGCCTTTCAAATCTACATTGCTAGGTGATGGCCATTTGGTCGCCTGTATGAAATGAAGAGGACCGTCTTTAAACAGTAGGGACAAAATCATATTTCACTTTATGTACATAAATGGCAGTTACCACCTATGTAACTACAGTTTTCAACACGTACACATAGGTTGACACAGTTCTGTCCAGAGGACAGGAGACCTGCTGGTAAAATAGAATCCTAAATTGTGCAAAAGAGCAAAAAACAGCAGTTAAAAGGCTAGGCAACTGCCATTTAGGCATGTAAAGTAAAATAGGATTTCTGCCCTAGGTCTCTAATAAAAAGCATCACCACAGTTTCCCTTTCAGCCTTGATGGCAATTTTAGTAAAATGACCAAGGATTAGATGGGTTTTCAAAAAGCCTTACTTTGAAATTCAGTGGAGTTGGGTGCCCCTAGCCACAATTAAGATTCCTCTGAAAACCCCAGGCCTAAAGAGCATGTTGTCTGAATTACCCCCTCACTGCCAAAGGTCACTTTTTCAAGTCATGCATGAGGCAATTTTTCTGCTGCTGCTCTGGGACCTGTACCTTAGTCTCCAGCCTGCTCTGGGGAGAGGAAGAGAGAAAATAATGTACATGTCATATTAGTCGTGTCATGGGAGTCACTATACCTCCCTTATCCCCAGATATTGAAGAGATGATGGAGGTGTAACAGTCTGTATAGATTAGAAAAGAACTTAGAAAAGTGTCCAAGTTTCACAAATATGAAAGCTATACATACAATTTAAAAATGTATTTACAGAACTATTGTAATAGGAGGCAAAAACACCTTAAATTGCTTTTTAAAAATTATTAGATTTATGGCAGGTCCTCAAAGTAAGGGACTGGCATTGAATCTCCAAGATTATAAGAAAATTAACCAAACAAAAAATGCCCATGAATTAAATATTATGGCCAGAGAGCACTGGGGAATCTCAGGATAAACTCCAGGCTTTAACACTGATGTCCTGTTCTCTTGCTAATTCATGTCAACTTTGTAATGTCATTGAAACAAAGTATTTGGTATTTCCATTATTCATTTCAACAGGAACTCCCTCTGTACATAACAGAGAAATTAAAAATCTGTTTTTTGCTTTTCTGCAGGATTGCCAGATGAAATTATCAAAGTTGCCCCAAACATTAAGCCTGTTATTGAAATACAACAAAATGGAAGCAACTTTGTTGTGACGTCAAAAACACCCAAGCAGTCTGTAACAAATTCATTTACTCTTGGGAAAGAGGCTGATATCACCACTATGGATGGCAAAAAAATGAAGGTAACCTACCAATATTTCAGGAACAATAGTAGTTCTTTCTGCACTCCAAAGATTTCAGAGGGCATATAGGTTACAAAGGAAGTGAAGAAGCCTGAACAGTTGTTTGTCTAACCATTAGGGTGGTTAATAATAGTGCAACACACTGCTACACAGGAAATTTGGCCTTGTGTCATGAACTGTCATCTTAGCATGTGCTGGAACAGTTGTGGAGGCAATGCACTAAGCTACTATATGAGCAAGCAAGCACAATGCATCACTCCTTAACCAGCTCTTCAAACTGACATGTGAAGTGATGCCAACAGGCTTCAGGAGCTGCTTCTGAAGCTAGAGACATGGTACTGCAAAGCAGGGTCTGGAGAAACCCCCAGGAAGCTCTTGGAAAAATAAAGTATTTGTACCAACTAGATATTTTTCAACAAATTATTAAATACTCAGTTATAAGCAAACAGGTAAAGGTAATCAAGTCTCCTGCGTCAGTGGAGGAGCAAATCAAAACAGGAGTTAGAGAGGAATTTTATTCCCTATGTCCTGTACTGCATAAATGACTAAATGCATCATGCAATTTTTCACTTTACCCTGAATAGTACTGCCCAAACAGCAGGCTGTGGAACACTACCTGTGGTCTTTGGACAGTTGACTTCCAATGGTGGTGATTCTCTCTCTCTCTCTCTCTCTCAGCTGATAAATATGCCAAAATACTTTAAGTGCTTTCTTACTACATTTTCCCATGCAGGCAGGAGTGTTATTTATGGCAAGGAAAGTGGTTCATGTATTTACAAGTATATGTGAGGGTAGTCTAGGAGACAATCTTTCTGTTACACGTGGTCCACATTATACAAAGTTTGAGAATACCAACTTTGAAGCATCTGGCATTGACCACTTCCAGAAGAAGGATGCCGTCACAGATAAGCCAACTGTTTTGTCTAATTTGGAAAGAGCCCGTGTATATGTTTTGATCGGTATGTTGTATATTTTGACCATCAACATACATACAAATAGATTGTATATGTATTTTACATACAATAACAATAACTGTAAATCCTTTTAACAGCCTCTATTTCCTGAAAATCATCTACACATCAAACAGTAGTATTTATATTCTTTGAACAGTTGGAAGAAAGCAAATTTTCTCCTAAGTTAATTAGGATATTACTTAATCATGCCAACTGTGGTTAGGGAAATAAGAATGAGTGACTGCACTTCCATCTGATCATATCTGTGTACCCAACTACTTCTTATAACTGAATTTCCACATGTTTACCTTTTGGCCTCAATTGCTGCCAGACATGGAGTGTAAACTGGACTTCATAAACTAATATAAGTAATTCTTAAAAAAAAAAAAATCTGTGTTCACAGTGCATCGTTCACTTGCAAGATGGGAAGCTTGTGTGTAAATCAGACAAATTCTTCCATGAACAAGAAGTTATAGGAAATGAAATGTTGGAGGTAAGATTCAGGCAAATATGAGTGCATTATGAAAAATAACAGAAAAAAATGCCCTACACATGTCAGCTTATAAAATCAATACCATTTCTTAAAGCACAAAAATTATTACAAAAGCCATGCCTTAAATCTATGAAGAATATATGATTTTAACTCTTAAAAATTATCATAGCCCAAGAGAAACAACGTTAATCATACTTTGGTACAGATGCGTCATATAGTGCCACAAATGCCTTACCTGAATCTCCTTTAAACACAGACACAATATGCAGCTATGCCTTACAGTTACATTCAAGGCTTTCCTGTCTTTGAATGTTAGCTGTCACTTTCCAGGTGAGACTGGGCCAAATTCATCCGTTATTTTCCATTTTATACACTCAAGCATGAATATTTTTAGTTTATAAGCATTATGCAGGAAAGCCTTTTGCAGGGTTCTACATAAGGCTGTGAACTGTTTGCACCAATGGCCTCACTGAAAAACTTTGACCCAGGCAAAGGGTGCAAAATGAATCAAGGAATGCAAGTTTACATTTTCACTTCTTTAACTTACAAATCCTTGGAATGTCTAATTTGTTCTGAACCCTTCTTTACCAGTATAGAGCCCTTCCCCTTGGGAGTTAAACCTCAACTTTTCAGTTTTTAAGATGTGTCCCATTTGATGAGATTATTGTCACAGGTTTTATAGCAAAGGTTTTCAAAGCAGCTCTCAAAGTTATGGAAACTCAGCTTCCTTAAATGGCTTTGAAAATGTCAGCCTACTTTTTCTTACAATAATAAATATCCGAAGTGCCATTTTAAAAGTACTTATTTCCAGCAGCAGGTTTCTGATTTGGAGAACATTCACTTCTCTTGGAAAACTTCTAATATTACTCCTTAATAAAGGATAACAACAATGTCCTTGAAAATAACAGTTGACATTTGGGGATTCTCAGTCCTCAGAACTGGTTCCCTAACAGAAACGTCATTGTTTTAGTATGAATGCACTGTGTATGTCTATAGACAGGTATTCTGAATGAGAGAATTACAGCAGTTTCTTTTCTGGTAGTTATGTGCAGCTCTCCTTACAGTCTAAATAAGAAACAAGTAACGTATTTATCTTTTCCAGACTATGACTGTTGGTTCAGCAACACTCATCAGAAAAAGCAAGAGGGTTAAATAATGAGACGACAGACTCATTTTGTCTTGGACATTTTTACGTTCCAAAAGCACATTTTCCATCAGTTGTGATTGTTCTTATTCTGAAAGAACGCTACAGAAAAATAAAGAACCAAGATCTCTGCTTTTCTTGCATCTCATACTTTGGCTAATATAAGAATGCATTTTCCTTGTTTATACTATGAGGCCCATCTTTCTAAGTAGCAGAGGCCTGTTTCCAAGATAGGCAGATCTCCCAATAATTACGAGGGGAGATTTTCCTGTGAAAGAAGTAGAGGACCTGTGGCCTCTGGTAAAATAGTGGCTCACCAGAACAGCAACAGGGAGGTGACAGAAGCTGATATGAATATTTCCTGACCTCTTATGCCAAATAAGGAAGAATATAAATTTAATAAATCCCACCTCCTTTTCTCTTTTTTGACCAGTTAGTCTAAGTGACCTACCAAAAATCTGCCATCTACTTCTTATCCAGCAAGGAGGAATCAGACATTTATGTGGTTGTTATGCACAGCTGTATCTGTAAGAGTAATATAAGCAGAAGCATGTTAAGAGCTGGAAAGCATATTGCACCTACTCAGCAATTAAACAATATAAATGACTTGTTAACCAACATAAAAAAGGAATTGCAAACACAGTTAAGGTGTTCAAGACCAAAAGAAATTAAACCAAAAATTAGGCAATTCATGATATTTTCCAGATCTAAAAATAATGAAGCATCCTTGTAATAGTCCTGATTAGCATGACTGGAAAATCCTGTTTTCAGATTAGATTGCTGTCTACTGTCTAGGTTGAGGCATAAAATTCATGGAATTGAAGATGGGAAGTAGGTTTCCTAACACCTGTTACTCTCAACTGTTCATCTTTGCAAAGTTCAGCTTCTTTTAAAAAAAGCATTATCATTCATCCTACTTTATTACTGACATTTAATTGACCTATAGGGCATGTACTGTGACACCACCAGACCTTTTGTTTTCTCACTAAAATGTTCGTTGGTATAGTAGTCATGCCATTTTTCAGGTTTCCAGGTAAATGGATTCTATTATATATACTAGCAGCCCTACTCTACACTGAGGTTAGTGGAAGTTTTTCAAGTGACTTGACTGGGAACAGAATCTGATCCCCTCTATGCAGGGAAAACTACCAACATAGCTTACTGCTAGACCTCATCATGTGGACACCCTTAGCTTAGAACTAGAGTGCTTTTTCTGGCTTACCTTGTATACTCTGAATACAAAATAATCTAGATAAGGAAAAAGCATCCTTATTCTGAAATCAGAGTGTCTGCAAGAGGAGTTGTACTGGCACAGCTATGCCAGTAACTGAGTCATGCTGTATTTGTATGAATCAGCTCTAAAGCTTTTGAGTTCAGGAGGAGTTACACATGTATATAAGATCCCCAGAATAGATTCAGGCCATTTGCCAGAACTTGGGAAGAAAGTTCTTTTAAAGCTGTGTGCTGCATGAAACTATTCAAGAGCTCAAAAAGGTAATGTTTGTAAGTTGCTCGGTAACTGCTGCTAGCTAGATGAGGAAACATAACAAAAGGATATTAATGTTCTAACAGTACATTCCCAGAAAACCACAATGCTTTAACAAACAAAACTACAGCTGAAAAATGAATTATACAAGAGATGTGACACTTTCTAAACTAATCGAACTAAAAATATTTTTATTTGTCATTAAACAGAATTGTAATCGCTGTAATTTGTAACGCCTGTGACAAAAATGTATAATATGTTGGTTTAGACTCACAATGACATAAAATGTATTTTTTTTAAATTCAATTAAAGCACCCACCTAAGAAAGCACTGATGATTTTTAATACATAAAAATTCACTGTTTTAATATCCACATAAGTGTTCCCAAGTTACTACAAATTAATCTTCTTTCACAACACAACTCACAATCTATTCAATTTACTATCTCAAAGTAAAGGTCAGCAAATACAGGTTCCGCTACACAAAAGGAAACAAAATTATAGGGAACGTAGCACATCCTCAAAACAGTGATAACTGAAATTGTTTCTAACATGTTGCACCTAAGCTTCCATAAAACAATCTAAAAGCAAATGTACAGGCAGTCCTCGACTTACGTTTCAAGTTACAACGTTTTGCACTTACAACGTTTATAAATTGACACCGTTTCAACTTTATAACATCAGTTTCGATTTTACACTTGATCTGATGCCAAGTCACACCAGTGAACAAGTTTGCTGCGTCACCCATCTCCCTGGAGAACATCTGTCCAAACTTCCTTGGACACTTTCTTGAAGAAGGCAGACAAGATTCCAGAAAAACCTGCAGCTGAGACTCCAGCCAAGAACCCTTCAAAAAGTCCACCCAAGAGCCCTTCAAAATGCCCAGCAAAGTCTCCTCAAAGAAGTCCTTCCAAATCAATACGATTGCTATTTACAATATAAATACATTGATGTATTACTCATCTATAATTGATTGAGTTCAAAATTCTGGGTTATTTTTGGTGAAAATAGAGTATCGGGCCTTGGTTCAGGAACCAATCCCCCATTTATAACATTGTTTCCTATGGGAAAATCGGTTCCAAGTTACAACATTTCAGCTTAAGACGTGGTTTTCAGGAACCAATTGTCTCGTAAGTCTGAGGACTGCCTGTACTGCAATGTCCAAATTATTTAACATTGCCAGCTATACAGCTGAACTAATCATGGCACATTCCACTGCTGCTGAGATATGAGGTTCCATACAAGTCCTTTGTTCAGTGTTTTACTACAAGCTTTTAGGAACCGGAGGCCCTTGTTTACGCTAAGAATCGTGTCTTCCTCTCTGGGATATTAGTTATGATTTATCTATCGAAAATACTTGTTTTCAAAGAATGGTGGATCCACCCTCCCTCACAGTCAAGTGAAATCACAGAGAACACTTCATGACAATGTTTACATTTCTGCCTTGGTAATTTGCTGTTAGTCTGAAGTCAGGTAGATGGTAGGGCAGGGTAGCACCTCAGAAACTAACTGGTTCAAAGAGGCATAAGTTTTCATAGTTCACCAGAGGCTGTTGCCTATGAAAGCTCATGCTTCTGAATCAGTTAGTGATGCCACCCTGTCCTACCTTCTTCATTACCACACCTTGTAATTATGAGCACTAAAGAGACAAGATCTATCTTGCTCTGAACTGTTTCTATTAGCTCCCAATTCCACAGGGTTTTGGGAAAAGTATGTAATTACCCCGAGAACATGTATATATGCTAAAGATCAAATTTTATGGTTTGTAACTTCAGTGTTTCATACAATTTTCTAAGAGCAAACTTTGATGTACCAACTAGAACAGCGTTTCTCAACCTGTGGGTTGTGACCCCAAAGTGAGTCGCAAGAATATATGAAAGGGTCATGAATGAACTTTGAAAATGGATTCTCCTTTACAGGAGAAAAACATGGGAAACCATGGCCTTTCCCTTGCAGGCTGGCAGTTTGCTGCTTGGCCCCCCCCCCCCACACATACACTGGGGGGCTCGGGGCAGCGGGTCACAAGTAAGGAGCAGTGGGTTGGGACTTGTCATTGATGTTTGCAAATGGATCCTGGTACAAAAAAGGTTGAGAACCACTGAACTAGAAAAGTTTGGTATTACACAGCTGTTACACTGTATTCAGAGTGTAAATTTAATCTTGCCTGCTTTTGCACCACCTATTTCAGGTTCTTCTAAAGAAACTCGTGTGCATGTGTGTGAATAGGATTTTAATATATATTTATTCCAAATCATACTCAGCACAAATGCCCACTTCTAGATAGGATAGCCCCTGAAAGGGAAACAGCTGTGGTGTAACTTACAAGTTACATTTCAAAGGCTACTAATGTGATTCAGTGCTTTACTCAGACACAATAACCATCGTGATTCTTTACTTCTGTTTAGGAAGATGAAGTAAGTATACAGCCTCCTTTTCCAGGTCAGCTACGGCACTGATATGATTTCCAACATTTCACTGCATTTGAAGTAACGTGGGAATAAGAGAGTGGGAGTGCATGTTTGTAGCTGCTCTGGTTTCACTTGTATTCTAGCACTTAAAATGATCCAACAGAAAAGTCAGGAAATGAAACGGGAGCGTCTGTTGCTGGAAAAATGGTATTTCAGAACTATGAAAACCTGAAGTAATAACAACTTCTCCATTTGTTTGTTAAGTGGATTATACATTACCATGTCAATCACGACCTGAACGACCAGATGCTTCTGTAATGAGTGCTTCATTAAGTCAGCTACTATAGACAGGCCAACTTAATAATAAGTGTTTTATAATTTATTTATTTCTTTAAAGCACTATAAGCAAGCAATACGCCACGTGCTGTAAAAGTCATTGTAGGATTAATGGTACAATTTATTATCGCTGTTTTCCACGTGGGAAGTAAGACATACGGCCATTAACAGGCTTGTCAGACTCCCACGGTGAGCCAGCAACGGAGAGCGCAGGGTTATGACCCTCATGTATTTGTTCTTACCAGAAGGCCAGCATTGGCATCGTGAAATCACCCTGGGGACCCAAAACATCAGCTTTACCCCACGTCACAACGCGATTGCCACGGTCAGGCGGCCCGCTGGAGTTCCTGACCACTCTCCCGTGGGGAAGTTCAGCCCCCGCTGAGACACCCGGCGCCAACGTTTCCAACCCCGAAGCCGTCTGATGCAGATACATGCTCGTTTTACCCTGCAAAGTATTCACGCCCCAATAGCGCAAGGGTCTTTGGCACAAAGCACCGACGTTTCAAAGATGAGCACACGGCAGGGTGGGAGGTGGGTACCTCAGCCCTGCACAACTACGCCCCGCTACCCCTGCACTGGTGCATGATCTAGCTACATGTGGAGCAGGACCAGGTGTTGATACTGTAACACCTATAAACTTGATAGTAAATCTATCAAGGCTCTAGGGAGGGCAGGGGGGTGTCTTTCTGCCTCTCAGGGTAGCAGTGAAGACGCCCCCACCCCAAGACGACGAGCGCCTCAGCAGCTTCTGGCGGGAAAACAACAAGGCGCCCGCACATTCCAACGGACTTCGCCGCACAGCGCATGCGCGGAACCAAACGACAAACCGAGCTTGCGCGCGCTGAGGGGACCACCCCGAGGAGACGGGGAAGCTGGCGCGTGCGCAGCACCGACGTCAAAAAAAAAGCGCATGCGCAGGCGGGGAGCGCTCCGAGGAGGAGCGGAATCAGCGCATGCGCCGAGGGGGCACGCGAGGAAGGCTTTGGCGCCGGTTCTTTTTTTCCCCTCCCCTGTCGCCCCTCGTTCTGGCCCAGTTCTCGCCGGAAGCGCCCCGGCAGTCTCGCGAGAGGCGGGGAGACGGTTGGCTGTGGCGCTGCGCGTCTCGCTCCGCTCCGCTCCGCACCGGGTCCCGCCGCTCGCCTCGCCCCCCGGCCCCCGCCGCCATGTCCCGCTACCTGCGCCCCCCCAACACCTCGCTCTTCGTGCGGAACGTGGCCGACGACACCAGGTGGGTGGCGGCGGCGCCAGGCCCGCGCAGGCTGTGGCGGGGGGGGCGGGGCGCGGGGGGGGGGCGCCCCGCGGGCGCGCCCCACGAGGGAGAGGTAGCGGCTGCCTGAGGGGGAGGCCGCGCCGCGCCGGCTCCTTTGTGCTCCCCTTAGAGCTTCCTCCCCGCGCTTTTTATAGGGGGTCGTGCCTTGCTCCCTCCCCCACCCGCCGCCGCGCACCAAACCGCGGGGGAGCTTTCCCGCCCATCCGTGGCTCGCAGGGCGGGAAATCAAAGTGGGATGGGGATGAGTTCACCGTCCCTAAATGGCCACTGGGGGTGTTGCCAGCCCCCCTCGCTGTGTCATACCGTGTTAAAATAAACACCAGGCAGTCCTTTTCCACCCCGGTGCAGCAGTACAGCCGGGGACCCTCGGAGGCGGTGGAGGCTGTGGGTGCAGCTAGGTCCACCAAGGGGACGAAAGGGGTGTCCGTCGCTGTTGAGCAGGGCAACGAGGGGCACGGCCCCTACATCGGACCTGCTCCAGCATTAAAGATCTCAGCCTGCAAGTGAGAGAGGAGCAGGACCCCCTGGTCAGACCCAGTTCGCATCTGCCCTCTGCGGGGTGGACCCGTGTTCAGGTCTTAGTTCTGTCAGGTCCTCGAACCTCGGGGTTTGTGTTTACGTAGGCAGAATATTTCTGCACCGTTCTTTGTGGGTTTTTTGGTGAGGCTTAGGCGGTAGGTGGGAAGGTTTTCAGTTTGCAGCGTTTATGGTAAAACTCTCCAGGGTTTAAAAATGCAAGGGGCTTCATGCTGTTGTATATTTCATCATGTGATAATGGTGCTTCCAAATTGCCTGGCAGTCTCTCCCCCTCCCCCCATTTACGCCCTGGATATTTTCAGCAGATTTTATTTTTGTCTGTTTTTGTTTTGCGGTGTTCTCTCTCTCTCTCTCTCTCTCTCTCTCTCTCTCTCTGTTTAACAAACTTTTTAAAAGAGTGTTTTGATTTATAAAGCAGACTTGAGGGTAGCGTTCTTACAGAAAGCATATATAAGATAATGTGTGTGTGATGTAGTGATTCTTGTTGTGGTACTGATTCATGATAGAAACATAGTAGAAAGAAAATGACCCTAAAAGAGGCATGCATTACATTACATAGAAAGTAAAATCATTAAGTGAATTATGGGTTGCATATGGAGGATACATGATACCGGTAGTTTTGAATTGGAAACATAACGGTGGTTTTTGGTTGGCCCCTTTTCTTTCTTTTTTCTCCATTGATTTTCGTGACTTGCTTTAGAGGGGAAATTACTTCTGCAGCCAGAGTAGCTGGGAAAGACCACTTAAAATTATGAAGAAAATGAGTGGCTTGTTAACTTTCTTGCAATCACCATGAAAACTTCTTTTGTACAGGTACCATTATGTTGTGAAATGTCATTATTGAATTTCCTTTTTTAATCCTCTCTGATGTGCAGTCTTTCCTTTCTTTGAGGAAAAAGAGATGTACAGTGGTAACTTTGAATCTTGTTTGAAGTGTTCATTTCTGAATCATGGCAACTTTATATGTATAAAACAGTATAAGTAGTGAAACATGCTGTTTGAGAGCTGCTATTATTAGGTAACTAGTTGTGGAATGGGAATTTCAGGTGTCCCCAAATCTGTTGTACAGAATTGTCCTTCCATATGTTTGGTCAGCTCAGTGAAACAATTTAACTAGCTGTTTAAGACAAGTTGAGTTGTGTTTGAGGTTATAAATACTGGTTGAGTAGAAAGTGGCTTGGGACTGATTGGAAAATCAAGCTAGAATGACAGTACTAACAATGCTGTAACTTTGTTTTTGCAAGATGCAGAAAGTAAGTTAGAAATACTTGATGATTTTTAAAGTGTTTTTTAAATGTTAGATATATACTGTTTATCTTTTCTTCAATTTTCCTTTAGCCTGCCTTTAGTAGTACAGTGGGTCCTCCTTTAGTTAGCAAACAAACCATCCGGATGACTTTTTCACTTGATACTTACAATGTAATTTCCAGATTCCAGAACTACAGCAAATAACTGTCCCTATTCCAAGACCCTAATTAACCTACCCTTTTGGAAAAGCTCTTTTGTGCAATTTAACTCTGATCTAATTACTTACACAGTAGATCTTGACCTTTTAGCCACAGAGAAATTAACCAAAAATATTTTCCCTTTATATTTTGGCTAGCTCTAAAATACAGTATTAACCACAGTACTTGGTTTAGTCGGGGGGGGGGGGGGGGGGAGTTTGTGGGGAGAAGGGTTTTCTCCAGACCAATTACTTTCTTTAGTTACATACAGAAAAGTAGAACTCTTGGTTCTGAAATAATACATTTTATTAGACCAACTGGAAAATCGCAGGAAATTTCTTTCGGTTTCCAAGTTGGTCTAATAAAAGGTATCATTTTGGAACCAAGAGTTCTAGTTTTTTGTGTGTCTTCTTGTCTCAGACCAACACGGCTACCAAGTATGCCCCTTTCTTTAGTTACAAAATTTGTAACTTACTTGTTTACACATTTTTCTCATTATTTACATTTATTAATGGCATTTCAGGTCTGAAGACTTACGTCGTGAGTTTGGTCGTTATGGGCCAATAGTTGATGTGTATGTTCCACTGGATTTCTACACCCGTCGCCCAAGAGGATTCGCATATGTTCAATATCCTTTCTGCAGCTGGCTGATTAGTGAGGGTGTTGAAGTTTGAAATTCAAGTTTGTGTAAGAGGTAACAAATCTAAATGAAAAAGCAATTTACTTTTGTGTTGTACCTAATAAGTGTCTTTCTTATATTGTGGTGTTTCTTTTTTTCAAAGATTAACACCTTGCAAATTACTCTTTATCTTTTTTTGAAAAAAATTAAACAAAATCTAGTTTAAAAAAAAGATTTTTGTTTCTATCTGTCACTCAGATTGATAGTATATGGTAATTAAGTGGCAGTTATCACTGACTCAAAGTTTCTACCATGTTCTTAACACGACTGGTATTGAAATTAATATTTGTTCTTTGAGCAAATTGTGGCTGGTATACATTGTTAATTTTAAAACGTGGGATCTGGAATCATTTTATCAAAAGCAGATTGTATAAAAATGAGGTAAACTTATTTTTTTTAATATTGTCCCCTAATTTACTGTCCTCTGTTGTTGCCTCAGAATGTAAAGCTGTACAGTAATGGCGACCCCAAAGAGAAAGCATGAAAGAACCTTTAGAGTAGAGTTCAACAATTAAGGCAAGTAGACAAGCCAAAGACCTCTTAAGGATCAGGCTTGAAGAGAAGGGAGAGTTTGGGAAAAGAAAAAATAAAGAAAAGCTGGAAGAAGGACAAGCCATAATGGGAGACAAAGCTTCGCTTTATCTACAAAAGGGGGAAAAGGTTGTTTTTCAAAGTAAAAGATAAAGCCATCTGTCATTTTTGGCCAAGCATCTCATGACAAGTCCTTCTGACAAGCACTTAAAGAGTTAAAGGTCAAGATGAAGTTGAATGGTGGCCAAGATTAAAGGAGTCATACCTGATGTATCCTACAGAATAACAGTTCTCTTCTATTTCTCATGTAAGCGGTAACTTGATAAATGATTCTGGTTTAGTCTATTGACAAAAACCTGTAATATTTCTCTTGTGAGTGGTGTTGAAATTGTAACTGCGGTCTCGAATTAAAATGCATTCATTCTTGGTTTATTTTTCAAGATAAACTGTACCACATTGTAGGTATACTTATTTTCTGCTCAGGCGAAGGACCGAGTTGTTATGCAGACAAAAGAGACCATTCATTCTTTCAAGTCAGCTAGTTGGAGACATGTGGGTGAATTACAGTAGTGGTCACTAATGGACTGAGCGTACTGGTAACGACTGTATTATTGAGCTACTGATTCATAGTGTAAAGTTTCAGTGTGCTTTTATTCCAAAGAATATGGTGGTCTGTACTTGAGTAAGCAGTAGGTGGGGAAAAAAACCAGAAACCATTCTCCCTATTTAAAATTTCCATTAACACAGTAGAGTAGCTAGTCATGAGAGGGGAATTTTCACTTTTTACCATTGACATTAAAGCATTTTTAGAGTTATCATTTCCTACTTTGTGTAAGGCAGACCTAGAGAATAGTGTTATTGTTAATGACTAAAATCATATCTTTCCTGAAAAGGCTACTTTTTATACATACACACAAATGGAAGAAGGGAAGCTAGCAAGTTAGTTAAGTCACAGCATAAAGGATAAATATTCTTGGTTTTACTTATACTACAGGGTTTATATGTTCTCAAAAGAAATCCTCCCACAGTCTGATGGTTAGTGGGAAACTGTTTTTAACATGCCCTGTTTAACAGAAATGTGTAAAAGACTCTGAAATTGGTATTAGAACATTCTGCTACTTTCTAAAGTTGTAAACTACTCAAATTC